TTTTTTTTTAGGTAAGACTGCTAAAGGAAAATAACAACGTATAATGTAAACATTTCCTGATACACAAACTGGTCAAATAAAGGGTAAAAATAAAAGCATGGCATCAAATCCCTACGTGAGGTGGAAAGTTGTACTTGACCTCAGAGCTTCCAAACAGCATGTTTTTATAGTCTTACTATCCTCTTTTTAAATTGCATGGCACTTGCTACATTTACCAAGTTATCATGATGGTTCTGGAAACAATATACAATAATAAACCATCTCATTCACCAGCTGCCAGCAGCCAAAGTCTCTGGTGCCCACACCCACTGCAATCACGTCTAACAGGAAGATCAGTATGTGTGAGCTCGGCCAAACGCACCACACATGGACTTTAACTCCACGTAGCTCTTAAAAATTGGTCGAAGATGCGTTTTCTTTGAGGAAGTGTTAATGACTGACTGTTTTGAAAGGGGCAAAACATAAAAATAAATACAGAACAGGGGCAACTGTTTCCTTGTACGGACCTGTGTGCGTCAAAGTAGGTTGTATTTGTTGAGCCTTTGTAATCCGTAGTTGGGTATTAAAGAAGTAGAATTATAATGGGAGGTAGTACTCGAGAAATCCTATTGCAGACAATAGCTCACAGCTTCACGTGGAGACAGCACTTTAAAGAGGAAAGAAACTCATTCACAGGTTTTACAAGTATTGCTTTTTGTGCAACAAAAGAACACACTACACCTCAGTGAGAAGCCAGGGATCGGAAATACACTGTTCATTCAGCGGGCAACATTTCAGCTGCCGTTTTAAGCAGCTTATAAAAGCTTCAAAGTAGTGCCAAAAGTGGGCAAATGTAACACATTCAGCTCTCGTATCACTCACACACACAGAAAAGCAATAATTAGCATGTTCCTATGTAATACACAATCAAGACTACAGACTGTACTGACAAAAAGGTGAGATTATTAGTCTAACAGAAGAACTGCGAAATAGTGTGCATGTGTCAGATTTCGTGCTTGCATGCATTATGCAATGCAATAAAATGCAATACCCTTCACTTAAAATGCCGGCCGTGAAAAAGTCAGGCCGTTTTTATACTTCATATATGGTAGACGATACAAACAAAGAAGCATTTACTGACCCTATGTCCCTATGATCATTGAACGTGTTCAATTACATGTTACGAGACATAAAAATAATCTTCAATGCAATATAAAATGACTACGAAAATTTACAACACTGAAGTATGGAGGTACCAGACCAGCTAATACCAAACAACTGCACCATGTTATCATTTCAACACTTACATTTCACATAACAATGAATAAAAAAAACAACAACATCGAAATAGTTTCC